TAATATTAATGTTTGATGGAAATTTCAAATTTCAACTTTCAAGTCTAAATAAATTTATTTTTGAAGAGATTAAATAAACGCATTTTGTCAAAAAACTAGTTTGACGTAAAAATTTCTATTTCCCCCGGATTTTTCGTTTTTCCTGATAGTTGGAAAAGTATTAGGAATTTTTCATTTTTTASTCTTCAAATTACAAATATCCAATTTTTTACCAGAAACCACCCTCGAAATTGAAGATTAAAGTATTTTTATACTGTTAAAGAAATCTCCCAGTACAAAAAACAAAAATATTTTTATCTAAAAAAACATTGTAAACCCAAAACATTCATTGCTCTGCTCAAAATCTAAAATTTATATTCAAATGTTTACGTTATTCTATATTATCACTGCGCAGTGTACATTTTACGCCATATGTATTTATTAATATTATGCTATTTTATGTACATTGACAATTTGTAAACCTTTATTATATTTGTATACTTATATAAATTTACTGATATTAATCAAATATTATTAAAARTCTTTTTGTTTTTATTTTTATTTTTAAAAGGCTATATTTACAACCTATACATAAATCACAATAAGTAAATTGGATAACAATAGTAACAAAAATATGAATTGATTGGCTTGAGGGAGAAAACCGTCCATCAACAGTACATTCTATTTAATTTGGTGGATTTATATGGAGAAACCGTTTATTAATTTATTTTTTGTATTAGGCAAGGGCGTCTCTTGGCCATTTTCTTTTTAGTCTCCTTGGAGAGTTGCTGGGGATGGGTAAAGATTACATACGAGAAATAAGAGGGTTTTGGTTTGAATGTAGTTTTGAATGGATTTAAAAATCTTACTTCTGGAAGAAGTTGGAATACAGCTGAACTTGATAATGATCCTGTGGCTAAGCCCAAAAGTAATCTCATAACAGTTTTCTTTCGATTCGGGTCATTAAGCAAAGGCCAAAATATTGCACCAACCAGCCCCGATAAACTTATGATGCCAACTGACACCAAACCTCCAATCCAAGCTATAAAACAACAAAATAATTGTCATTAAAAAAATATATTAAAAATGTWCGATATGACTAACCTTCAGCATTCGTAGACCTTTTGGATAGTGGTATTGATATTTGATTATCTATAGGAATCGCCATCGATTTGATAGGATAATTTTCTTCATAACTAACGAACTCGATTGTACATGAGTTTGGTCTCGATGCATTGTCACACTAAAAACACGAAAAATATACTAAAATTTGTTTATTCATTTAATAAATATAGATTATTATAATTTTTAGCAGATAGGTACCGAATACAAAATTATTTCATCAGTACGATGTTTCAGATAAAAACTGAAAAATTAAAATATATTYGAATTAGAATAATATAGAAAAATGTTTTGGAAATTAAGTTATCAAAAGTCAATAAATAAATAAAAATTTTAAATAATAATATATTAAATTTTACTGTACCTAAAAAATGTGTTGTTATTTTATATTATTATATTATTCAAATTCAATCAGAATATCGACACTTGGTAGAATAGATTATACTCCATACATAATTACTAGTTTTTATATTGTGTCTAAAATATTATTACTTTTGCATCTATACCCTCCTCTTAAGTTATATTTATTATTTTATTCATAATTGTGTAAATGATCAAATAATTACATTTAAAAATATCATTACCAAAAAATAATTGGTATACGGAAATAGCAATTATACAGTCAAGTGTGTTCATGTTAAAAAATAAAAACACAAACATTGGTGTGTTTAAATTGTTTCAATCACGTTTAGCACTCGAGCTAATCAAACCAATTACTGATAAATAAAAAATTAAAACTCTTTGTTTTTAATGCGTCGTAATAAGTTGAATGATAACTTACTACTAGGTATATAAAATATAACTTTAAGATAAATCAGTTGTTATTATTAATATATGTCTAGTAGGTAATATACTTAATAGTTACAATTGGACAATAATACTACCATAACAAAATATTTAAATTGAATGTTTTTTTTTTTTAATTATTACCATAAAAATATTTGGCCATTGTTATGCAATTATTTGTAAATACAGTTACGTTTTAGGTACCTCTTCTATTATAATTTTAAATATTCTAGATTACAATGACGTTAGTTAATTATAAGGCATTCGCTTAATTTCGCTCATCGTGGCATGATAATAAAGTGGCAATACCTATAGTAGAGTAATTACAGAGGGTAATAGGGAGGGGGGTTTGGTTATCGTATGCCCCATGAATCCCRTGACTTTTTTTAAACTGACAAACCCTTTTTAAGAACTTATTTAACTATGAATATTATTATTTATAAGTATACTATTATATATTTTTTAAAATAAATAATAATACATAAAAAAAAGACTTCCCCATGCTAGCTGTACATAACTAAGATAATAATATTACTTACGTAATAACAAAAATGACTATTTCATATATATATATACCGGCTTACTAAGGCATAACAATGCATTTAAGTTTTCAAGTAATTTTAGGAAATTATTTCGGAAACCTATGCATTTCATCGAGTTAAGAACAATTATGTAATTAGAATTTGTTGATCGGGGCTTACTTCCAATGTTATAACCTATAACCTTTTGACTTATGGATCACAATAATGGTTGTATTTGGTAGTGCTTAATTTGATATAATGCAATTTTTGTTTTTTGGGAGAGGAATGTTAATGTTTAAATCCCCCCCACACAAATATGACCAAATTACGCCAATGGATACCTATGATATATAACGTTTAAAAGCAATAATCGTCTTCTAAAAACATTACACAGCATAGGGCTCAGCTGATACCATACMTTATTTTCAACAATTTTGGGTGGTTTCTGTAGTTAATAGTAGAAAATCGAAAAATTATCTATGCTTAAATTAATTAGGTAATAACAATACAAATCAGATAATATTCCAGGTACATTTGATTAACTTTACTATATTATGGTCTATGGGCTATAGCTGTTGATAATTTATTCATCCAAACAATTATACTACATCAATAATTAATTTATATTACTTATTTAGTGGTTTTTGTAATTTTTATGTAAAATTGGCACAAACTAGAATACCTATGTGAAAACACTTAATGTTAAAACAAATAGGTACCTACATACACAAACAGCAATATTTCTCAAGTACTAATATAATATGCAATTCTGACAATATCAATATAATCAAGTTAATATAACACTTAATAATGT